TATGACATATTTTTTATGAACTACAAAATTTTGATTTGTTTGCAGCAAAGTGACATTAAAAAAGGTTTAGCAGATGCTAGCTGCCAGTACCGTAGCTTGATGTGTTACCAGGGCTTACCTAGCATTTTTGACATTGTACAGATTGAGGAATGATTGATAACAACAACAACAAAATAAAAAGAGTGATCATGTAAAAGTTACTTTAAAGGGACATTGCCGAGCGGTTTAGCTGAGATTTTGCGCCTTCTTTACAAATGTTACACTATGGCTGCTGAAGAATATGTTCCAAATGCTAAGGGATGTACCTATTTATCTCTGGACTTAAACAGCCCCATCCATGACAGTTTCTGTATTCCTAATGTGTTCTATGTGGGAAATTCCCATTGAAGTAAATGGAATTATGCAGCCAAAATGCATCTTGAACCCTCACTTACCAGCCTCTTCTCTTCCTCTGAACTGTCTGATTCCCACATTGGCCTCTCTCCTACTCCAGAACCTCTCAAATGCAGCTGCCGAACATCTTTTCCTTACCCAGCAATCTGAGTGCATTGTCACCACTCCTTGCATGCCTTTGATAGATGTGTATTAAGTTATAATTAAATGCCCTCACCTTCATGACTCTCCACATCTTGGCCTCAGCCAGTATCACTTCCTGTTTTACCTCCTCTCTCTGCTTTGTAAAAGGCACCATCCTCAACGCTCCATTCACTTCTTTCTCCTATTCCTGTCTAAATAAATTTTGCCACAACATGCCTATGGATATGGTGACTTACAAACCCAGTATGTCAAACCACCACTCTCATTTAAATCCCTCCTCAAAACCTATATCTTCTATGCCCTTAAAAAGTGTCTATGGATGCAAAAACCCCATGAAAAGTCAACATCTCCCCCTTTCTTTATGTTGCATGGTGCTTCCCAACTTCTCCATGTCTGCACTTCACTGGGATGAGACATATAACCTTCCAGACAGTAAAGTCTTCAGGAAGGTGGATGTGTCTGTCTATATTTTACAGTGCCAGTGCTCAAATAATCTTTTAAACGTCATATCTTGCTGAGCTCTGAGAGTATGTATATATGTGAGTAATACTTGTCCCCACTGTTTATCTTGCAGTTTGGGCAACCAGTCAGCAGAAGGAGCACAAGTGAATATCAAAACCCTATGCATAGAGCTGTACTGCCTTCATGCCCTCTGTGCATGATGCTTTTTTATGTCAATACATGTAGTAACAAGGATGATCCATGGTTTGTGTGCTTCTTAGAATCAAAGAAAACAGCTACATTTTCAAAACAGACTAGAAGGTAAGCCTGGAGAAAGAGGAATATTTTTGGACTGCAGTGAAGTTTCTAAAGAGAATAAAAGAAAAACTTGAGAAGGAAAAATTCAAAGTTTTAAAGCTACAAAAGATAAAGTAGAGTCCCATAAAGATTTGAATGTACACATGGCCAGTATGCATTCTGCTTTCAGTCACTGCATGTGTGCTCTTACTAATGATAGCAGGATAATGCCTGTTTATGTGGGTTTGTCGGAAAGCTGCCAGCTTTACTCTAAATTTGCCACACTGATTTTGTGCTAGTTTGTGAATGACCCATCTTGATTGGATATTTTGGTTTGGCCTCTAACTCAAAAATGGTTTCTATCCTTTTGACTTCGTGCAGATCTCCATCCACACTCATACATGGGTTGTAGTAAATAAACAGGCCAGCTTTAGGAAGTGCGGGGCCCAATTTGCGAGGGCGGGGCTGCACTCGCACCATGCGCCTGAGGTCCGGGGCACCGCACATGCGCCGCAAGCCCAGGAGTAGGGCCTTCTTAGGCGCCCCCCCCCCTTAGGCGCAGGGCTCAATTCGGGGGAATTGGCCTAAAGCCGGCCCTGTAAATAAATATAGATTGCAATTAAGTACGCTTGTTAACAATTGTTGTATCTAAGGGTATGTCTACACTATAGCACTAATTCGAACTAACTTAATTTGAATTAGTTAGTTCGAACTAAGCTAATTCAAACTAGTGCATCTAGACCTAAAAACTAGTTCGAATTAGCATTTTGCTAATTCGAAGTAGCATGTCCACACTGAGTGGACCCTGAACCTAGGTTAAGGATGGCCAGAAGCAGTGCCGGCAGGGCATCAGATTAGGACTTAGAGCGTGGAGTTGCTGTCTCAGGCTAGCCGAGGGCTGTGCTTAAAGGGACCCGACCCCCACCCCGGACAGACAGTTCTCAGGGGTTTCCCGCTTGCAAAGCAGTCCTGGCTTGGAGTGCCCTGAGTGCCCACACTCGGCACATCACAGCACTTGGCCATCAGCCTGGCTGCACTTGCTGCAGGCTGCCATCTGAGGGAGGGGTGTCAATTGGGGGGCTGCAGGAGAGCTTCCACCCCGAAGAGCCCGCAGAGCCACCCCAGTCCTCCCCATTGGGGGCTCGTACCCCATTCCTCCCTCACCTCCTTCCACTTATCCCTCCCTACCCCCCCTTCCTGATGTACAAAATAAGGGACACGTGTGTTCAAAAATAGAAACTCTTTTTATTGAACA